CTCCTCCTCCTCCTCCTCCTCCTCCTCCTCCTCCTCTTTCTCCTCCTTCTCTTCCTTCTCCCTCTTTTTCTCCCGGTTCTTTTCTTCCTTCTCCACCTCCACTTGTTTTTCTCGTTATTTTTTATTCTTCTTCCTCCACCTCTTTTACTTTTTTTTCTTTTTCCTTTCCTTATTTCTCCGATTTCCATTTCATTCCCACCTGACATGCGATAGAGGTCCTCCGATCCGAGTTTGTCAAACCAGGGCTGTGCATGAATTCAAAGCAAAGGGTAAACTCCACAAAAAAGGCTCCTGAAAAAGAGAAAAGAAAAAATATTGAGGATCTCTCAAAATCGTTGGTGGGTTTTCAGTCACCTCGTGGCAAGGTTGAAAAGTCATTAAATGCGCTGAGAGATTGGAAAGAGACAACACCCAGACCAGGATGACGCGTCTCCGTCTCTCCCTCCCTTCTGACGTCATCAGTTGTTTATGGATCCCCCGATCAACGCCACTGGCCACCGCGACCGGCGACGGGGAGCTCATGCCGCGCTTCAGCAGTTGCAACGTTGAGCTCCTATCGTCACCATGTCGCGTCGCGAGGAGTCTCAACCCACGCGCGAGTAAATTCAGCATCCCTTAGTTTTTCGTCCAGTTTCTACTTAAGTCGTTCTCTTTAATACCGTGTTGGTTTCAGTTTGTTTCGAGCTTTTTTGGATACCAGACGTGACGTTTTTCGAAGTTGGTATTACATGCTTTCATTAATGTTCATGTTTTCATGTTTTCATGCCGTGTCTCGTATGAAATTGAGTAGTTCTTTAATAGCTCGTCTTTTCCCAGTCGGAAGAACGCAACACAATTCCGAGGTTGTAAAATGTACTAAAAATATCAATTATTTGATTGGTAATGATTACGTAGTTCTTGTCCACATTTTCCCCCGATTTTTGCGTAAAGCAGAAAAAGAAACTAGAGAAATGTTCTCTTATAGACACATTAATAGCTCTAGAATAAAAGTTCACTTTGCTAATGGACATTTCGCAAGGACAAAATTTTGTTAGCTCCTCTTGTTCCTCTTGTCTGGGAAACTGTGAAATGAAGAGTGGAAAAAGAAAAAAAAAATTGACGTTTTCGGTAAAAGCCGTAGTGTTTTGATTGATAGCGTAGTGTAATACAATGCCGCGTTGTCCAAATTTGAAAAAATTAGGCTCGATCACTCGCAATTCAATTTACGTGTTTTTTGGTTCACCCAACTGGGTTACACTGTGCACCACCTCTATGATGGTTTGCTCTCAGTGAATTGATCTGAAAAGAAATTCTGTTCGAATTCACGGTAGATCACGAGGACATTTCATTTTTTCTCTCACGATAGGTTCCCAAAATTTTCAGCACGTCATTACATCTCGAGGAGTGCCCAGGAAATTGCCGACGCAATACTCCAACAGTTTTGAACAAAATTTCCTCCCCGGCGGGGAATCGAACCCCGGTCTCCCGCGTGACAGGCGGGGATACTGACCACTATACTACCGAGGACAGATGTTAGTAGTGATCAGATTTAAACTTTGTGTGGGAATGGCACGGGTCAAAATTAAAAGTAATATAATTACAGTCAAATGAAATGGCTACCCCGGAAAGTAAAGAAATTCAGGAAGAAGCCGCCCGGAGGGGGGGGGGAGTTCTTTTCCACCCCGATCCCACGGAGAAAGTAATCAGTTACTTTCAAATGTAATAGTCCTCCCATCCCACTGCGAAATTTGAAAGTGATTTGTTTTCAGACTTTTCAAAAATAGATCATTATTAGAGGAGGCACGCATAGATTATGTGCTCGCATAGTGGTTTTGGTCAGTAGTATATATTATTCCTCAGGAAGTAGCATAGTAAGCCACAGGGACGGACTGGCCGGGGTGGCAATGGGGCGATCGCCCCACTTTCATCGGCCAAAAGGGCCGTATTTCGCCGTTTCGAAGAAGCGCCCGAGGGCTTCTTCGGTTCGTCCCGAGACTCCTGAGAGGACAGGACACTTGGCATCATACGACTTGCGTCCCGCGGTCAAAAAAGGAACGACTTCCGTCCCGTGTCCAAAAATCTCGAAAACGACTTGCGTCCCGCGCTCAAATCCGAATTTGAGCTGCCATCATGATTGGCAACACCGCGTACCTGAGTCAAAATACTATCAAGTCAAATTGGAAAATATGCAATAAAATTACCTGAGATAAGATGAGGAAACAACCGTCAAAATTTCTTCATACTCATTAGCAGTGCACGTCATGAATTAAAAATTTCGCTTGTTTTACGAGCACGTCAAAAATTTAAAAACTCACCGTCTTCAGTTTTTGATTTATAAACGTCAGTTAAGTGCAATTTTTGAATTTTTCGGTACCAGCTTTGGGCAATATGGAATCGACACCCACGCACTTCACAGTTTGGGAATACGGTGCGGATCGCGTTGTGTATAGCATGCTCGAAGTCAGCAAAAATAGTTGACGGTTGGATCTTGAGCCCCAATTTATCAGATTCACTAACTATGAAATTAAATGCTCTTTCATACGAAGACTCTTCTTTATCAGGTAATGAGAAACAGGCCTCAACTGCATATGAGTTGCCTTTGAATCCATGGACGACAAATAGTTGAGTAAACTCTACCGGTACTGACATAAATGTGTCATCTACGTACCACGTGTCGCACGCTGCTAGAAATTTTAAATTTGTCGCACTGATCGTGATTTGTGAGTGCAATATCATCTTCTGATAAGAGCTACCGAAATTCCGGACATTCCGGACCGAAAAGCACGGATTTGTCGTGGAGCTGCGGTAGCGACGTTGCCATATGATATGAATTATAATCAAATCAATCCACTACGGGACGCAAGTCGTTTTCGAGATTTTTGGACACGGGACGGAAGTCGTTCCTTTTTTGACCGCGGGACGCAAGTCGTATGGTGCCGGACACTTTATTGCCGATTCGGAGAGCGCCCTGAAGGAGCTTTTTTATGCCGTATCTAAGGGCGTTGCATTTTGAGAGCCCTTTTTTCTGATTCGAATAAGTCCAAAGGGGTCCTTTTTTGTCATTTCGGAAGAGTCCTGAAGGACTCATTTATTGCCGATTCGAAGAAGACTCGATGTAGCCTTTTTTTGCCGCTTCTAAGGACCTCAAAAGAGCCCCTTCATCTGATTCGAAGGAGTCCTTTTTTGCCGTTTCCAAGGGACCATTTATTGCCGATTTGAAGAGGCCTTGATGCGGTTTTATACCGCCTCTAAGGACCTTCAAGGCACCGGGCTCTTTATCGCCGATTCGACAAAAGGGTCCTTTTTGCCGGGGGCCCTTTGGTACTGATTCAGAGAGGCCTCGAGGGCGCATTTCTATGCAATTTTGAACTTTGGAGGCCCCTAGTAGGGAACCTTTCCTACCTTCCTCAAGGGATTTCGTAGGGGCCTTCGGCGATTTTTCCCCCCTTTAGCGAAATCAGAATGTGTTCTTTTTAGACTGTCACTATTACTATTCTACTTGATTCTATGTATCTTCTGTATACTAATTTAGCTTTGGCACAATTTTTCGTTGGAAGAGGAAAATAAAAGTTGAATCCCAAGTATACAAGGGATTCTCATTTTTTCATCCAGTTTAGGAAAATATACTAAGTTTTGCATTTCTGGTCTCTTTTTGGATAATGTTCCAAAAATAATATTAAAGAATAGGGTCTAAAATAGCGTAAAATTCATTCTAAAAGGGCCTAATTTTCAAAATTTTCCGGGGGAGGGCCCCCGGACCCCCCTTCTACTGGGGGGCCCCCAGACCCCCCTAGGGGCCCGCCCCATACTTAATTTAGGGCCAGTCCGCCCCTGGTAAGCCATGACGTGAGATTTACAAAGAGTGAAAAAGGGCCGTGAACCTTGATGGGATATCCGTATTTTATCAAAATAAATGCATTTTTAGAAATGAAGAAAAAAAGAGCCAATAGTTGAAAGGTGTGTAGCCTGTAGCTACATGATTGTTACTACAACACCTCAGTAGTTGTATCATAATGCGGTATAGTTAGCATGCTGCAGCTGCATGGTAGCAGGGGTTCTGAAAATGAGGCAGACAGAGGCTGGGCGTGAATGCTGGGCGTAAATGATTGATTGATTATCGATATTCCCCCTTTGACGCTATGATAAAGAATCGATGATTAAGGTTTACGTTGCGAATACTCCGTCTATCGATCCTTTTCCATAGGTTTAAATGGCAGATCAATCGATACATCGCAAAGCACGCCACGCCACTGGGTTTCTGTATCCAAACGCGATTCGCGTACGCGGAGACTTCAACGAACGGGTAGGAAAAAAATTTGCGTCGGACGATGTGCTACCAGAGCACGTGTCGTGGATTCCGCCGTTACTTATATTTGATTTTTTCAAGAAGATTGTCATCAAAATCTGTCTTTAAAATTGTTTCGCTGTTCTTTGAAAAAATGGAAGAAACAATGGTCAAAATAGCAACTGAGTAAGCGTGAATTTCGCGCCGGGATTTTTAACATGTAGTGCCTCATTGCAAAATGTACCCCAGCTCTTGCAGACATCTTAAATTTTCTAGATAAGCGCAATAATATAAATCCTGTTTATTTTGCCTTTATTATTTTTGTTTTGTTTTTGTTTTTAAAACCGGAGGGAGGGGACGCGCATCTTCTCGAAGAGCTGTTACGAAAACAGGCACCGGGAATTGAATGAGCCGGCTAAGGCTTGTTTGAGAAGTGCCTTGGCTTTAACGGTTTTCTGAGAAAAAGGGTGGGCACGATTTATGCAAAGGCAACCCGTTTAAAGCTTTCAAAATATGCACGAAAAAGAATTTGAAAAGTAATCCCACACCCACTGCTACGTTGAATATTTATTTTAAGTTCTGTCACTTGCGTTTTCGAACTTTCTTCAATGTCATTATCTTAAATCAGAAGGTATTCGCTGATCATGTCGTAAAATGACTCACTGCAATATTGAAAGCATTAAAACTTGTTATATTCATAAGTTGGCGGAGTATTAAATAGACTGCGATATCTCCAGAGAAGGAGAACTTACGCTGGTGGTCTTTGGCGGCGAGGCGTTAATGATCGATTATCGATATTTCCCCATTTGAGCCGTGATAAAGAATCGACATTGAGGTGTTCGTTGCGAACACCCTGTCTATCGATCATTTTTCATAGGTCTAACCGGCGGGTCAATCGATATATCGCACAGTACGCCACGCCACTGAGCAACTGCTATAAAAGATGAGTAATAAAAACATAAACGGTGACAAGTATTTTTGTAATGTGACGGTACACTCGAAAGACACCAGGGCAATCACGATTTGTTTTGCCGAAACAAATCTAATAGTAAAATAATTTAGTTTAACATTCCATGAATTTGTTTTTCCTTTGAAAAAGTCTGAATTTGGATTTCTATGATTTGCATATCAGGATTTTTTTCAGTGCTATTGTCAAGGATTTGACACTTGTTAAATATATTCAATGAAGTATCTTAAATGACTTTAGGGAATATTGATGCTTGAAAAATTATTTTATTCGTATGATGATGACAAAGTCTTATATTAGACTGTAAAATCTCCAAAAAAGGAGAACTCATATGAAAGAAAGTGCGAACACATGTTTTGTATAAGAGGAGCGAGATGAAAACATAAATGGCGATAAGTATTTTTTAATATGACGGCACACTTCAAAAGACAAGGTAATCACATTCTCTCGTGCATTGAAACTAATCTCACTGTAAAATTGTATTTAAAATGTTTTTCTTTGCGAGAAAACACTTCGGCGGGTCACTTTTATCGCTCGAACACGATAACTTGCTTTGTCCTCGAGGGTTTATCGAAGAAAAAGTTGAAAATATCGGATTTTTGGCTATGCCAGTTTCAACCGTGATGAAACTACGATACCAATCTGCCATGATAATTTCAGATTCAAAGGCCATTAGCGATTTGACAGCTTGTCAAATCAGACAATCGAAGGCCTCCAAGGCGATGAATGACAACTTCAGTCGCATACTCATACCCAGCGCTCAACTGAAGCGGGCAAAAAGTAGGCCGCTTTAAGATGATGACGATGCTCCAGCACATAGCAGCTCGCACATTTTTTGAAAGTGCACGCGCAGATTTGCACAATTTACAAGGGCTCGGATTACATATATATTTACGAAAAAATGTATAACCATTAATACTCAAGATTAAAACATGTTTCTTTTTTCGTCCTCTTCTTTTCACGAACGGATGCATTTGGAATTGCATTTTGATTGCAATTTGGATGCCGAAAAATCCTGTAGGCTAAAGAAGAAATAGTGGACCCCCCCCCCCAAAAAAAAAAGAAAATATATTTTTCCTAGTTTCCTTTTGAGAAAATAAATTGTAACGAGGCATCTGCAACGTAGCAAATTGAATATCATGCTTTTCAAATTTTAGCATTAGTGTATCTGTCGAAGGCAAATAGTCAAGTCAGGCATTTTGCTAAATGCCTAGACAAATAGTTAGATATTCTTACTTAAATTTAAATTCTGATTATTTTGCTGACCATAGACAAAATAATTCTCTGATCACGTGGAAATGAATTTCCTTTAAAAACTTGTTCCATGCGATCATAAATGCGCTTTTTCTAGTCCTTGAATGCAAATGTATCTCAAAACATGCAGAATTTCGTAAAAAAAAGAAAAAAAAAAAAAAAAAAAAAAAAAAAGTCTTCACAATTTGGGCGGTTGGAGAAATATGAGGAGCATTTTTGAACGGGAAATAAAATGACAGTTTGTACTTTGACGGAGTTTTAGTCTAAAATATTGAAAATTAGAGAGATATTCGTTAGAACATAAAAACCCTCTACTCGTAAACATTGAAAATTTGTGTATTTGCAGGCATTTGATAAAATGCCTGATTTGACTATTTGCCTCCGACGTATCCATTGTGACGCGCTATTATTATTATGTGTATGACTCTAATCTTTGTCTTTTTTTATTTTCAGCCAGGATTGAGCTGTAGTTGTGCATTCATTTCGAAGAGGGCTCATCCATCTAATCTCTTCAAACATGCTGCCGGAATCAACTCGAGGGTTGAAAGGAACTCCATAGTGCTTGTGTCTGCAATAAACGATAAAATTTGAACTCCATAGTGCTTGTGTCTGCAATAAACGATAAAATTTATAGAGTTTATTCGTGAAATATATTTGTGATCGTTCGCAAATACCGCTGTCTTCCAATTTTTGGACCATTTCCTCATAGCTTTCAAAAAGGTCAAACAATGGTCAGTACGCAATGTGACGGGTGCCTGTCGCGTTGGAGTGTATCTATTTCGTCCTAGTTCGTTAACCTATCCGATCAGTGTGGTGGCGTATCGCTATTAAATTCCTATTCAATCTGAAATTCTTGCATATAAACGGTTTCATCTCAGAATCGCGGAATTGTTCTCAGTAGACCACCACATTTACTCTCGCTCATTTTGGTGATTCTAGTTCGCAGCTCTACTGTTCTTCGTCCGAGAAGTCTTCTACGAAAGAAGCACCGTGTTCAGCACGCAACCCGGTATATTTTTCTCGTTATGTAATTACAGCCAGACATTTCAAAAACGCCTTGACATTGTTTCTCTATTTTAATCGAACCGATCAGGATTAATTTATTCCCTTAAAATACGTCAAATTTTTGCCGGGCTTTGCCGCGAGTTATGTGTAACCAGAGTTGGTCCGACCTGCCGACTTCGTGCTCATTCGCCGGTTTTTTCGCTTACTTCACTTTCAATCTGCTCCACGAATAATAGTGAAACCCGTAACGCACTCCTCAATTAAAAGTGTATCTGCTGTGCGCCTAACGAAACGCGACTGTGTTGATGTGCTAATCCAATGGTAACCATGTGTTTGTGCGGCCCGTAACTAGTTGCCCCCAACCCAGAACACTAAAATGAAAATTTCGTTGTGAGGAATCCTCAGAAATCAATCTCGGGAGTCTTATCGTTCATTTTTTCCGACAGGTAATCGCCTTCATTTTCTCGTGATACTGCTTGTTTTGCCCCGGAATTAGTTTAATTGCCTACCTGACCCGAAAGCAACCGAGGGCATGAAAATAAAAATATCAAACTAAGCGCTCAGAATAATACCGCGCCTTCGTTTGCACGTGATACTGCACACATTTTCCTTCAGCTCCTTTACTTGCCTGGTCGACCCAAACCCTCATTTTAAGCGATTCTAGGCATCCATCGAGAGCGCCTTTATTTTCACGTGATACTGCACGCTTTGCCCAGCGGATATTTTGGTTGCCTAGTCAACCCAGATCCTCATTTTAAGTGATCCTAGGCCTTCATTGAGAGCGCCTTCATTTTCACGTATTACTACAAGCTTTGCCCGGCGGATATTTTGGTTGCCTAGTCGACCCAGACCCTCATCTTCAGTGATCCGAGGCCTCCATCGAGAGCGCCTTCATTTTCACGTGATACTGCAAGCTTTGCCCGGCGGATATTTTGGTTGCCTAACCAACCCAAGCCCGAATCAAAGCACGGAAATGAAGATTTCGCATTGAGGCATCCGCAGAAAAAACCACGAAGAGCTCTCAAAACTAACACGATCGCACGATGGCGTTCCTGAATTACAGTCTGGCCGGGAGCGCGTACCAGAACGCTCCGATCGACTACGGGGTGAGTCAGCCTCTGCCGTTCACACCACCCCCAGCGGCCTACGACAACGGTTTCCAGCAGGCGCCTCCGAGGCCTACCCCACTGCCGGTGCCACCGCAGATCCCCCAGTTCCGGACGCCGAGCCGGGATGTTCCGGGGCCCGAGCCCGGTGGCTCGAACCGGTCGAGCACGTTCCAGCGGGCCAAGGCGGCCATCCCGACCGGATTCTACAAGCAGATCTCACCCGGCGGCGGGTCCAAGACTTCGGTCCACGCTGTCATCGACTACGACGACGACTTCGGTGAGGGTGACCTCGGTAACGGGGTAGGACCCGGCCCTGGTGGACCCATCGCCCTCCGTGGCAACTCCACGCCCGTCGTCCCTAGGTACGCCTATGATGTCTACAACACCAACGGAACTCTCATACAGATCCCTGTAAGTAGCTTTCCTCCTTAATATCAGTGTTCCTAAATTCACTCTCATCGGCGGATCCAGCGAATTGGCAACATTGTCATTTGTCCAGTTAAACCTATGGAAATGTAGCGATTCTTGAAGGGGCCAGGTGCTCGGATAAGAATCGATTATTTAGCGTAGGTTTAAACGGAGAAAATCCAGTGTTGCCAAATTGCTGGATCTTATTAATTTTAGCTATTCTACAAGAAAAAAACATCACAACACGATTTTGAAATGTTATTAGACAAAGCTTCAGTTCTTCTTCAAATTGCCACCAACCATTGAAGACTAAAAACATTATGTTTTGATGATTAAAAATCGACTTTTTAACTTTAACTATAAAATACCACATAAAAAGGGTATTTTTCATTTAAGACGCCCGTAATTGCTATCCTCTACGTGCTTTTGTGCTTAATATATAATAAAACCTTTGATCGTTTTAAGTATGACGTTGTCTAATGTTCCTGAGAATCGTACGACTTCTCAGGAAGTAAATAAGCGCAAATAAGCGTCGACGCACACTTGCCCGTCATACATTTTTCGAGGTCGATGAGTTTAAAGCAGAGCCTGAGAAAAAAGTTAAACGCCCTCTAATAAAAATTCCTTAAGAATCTCTTTAAAAATTCCAAAAGAGCCATTTTTAAAATTCCAAAAAAATCGAGGCATATTTTAAACGCGTGGAGCAACTCAAAATGTATGCTAAAATACTCATGTTAGGAGTTAAGTGTCAATAAATTGCCGGCATCCCGGTGTCAAATTAAAACTGTAGCAGTGGAAATTGAAAAGATCGTGATGTTCTCGAGGTAGCCGAATTTCTTGCGTGCTCATCGCGGCTGCCCCTGAAGTTACCGATAATTATTGGGCGATTGAATCGTGGGGCCACACTTGACATTAGTCAGGTAGCCAAAGTAAATGTTCCGAGAACAGTCATGATGTAATCGGTCGCGTTCTAATATCCATCAGCGAAATTGAGACTTTCGTTGGTCTTCTTTCTCCCCTTCATCAGTTTTAATGACCTGTCAGCCCTGTCTCCACAATATCGCCACTCCACTGACGTAAGGACGTATCTCTAGTTCTTCACGAGCCCCAGAAAGCATTAAGTTTTACGGAGGATAGGGCTCACGTGGGAATTGAGATACGCCCTTATGTTGGGAGCGACGGTATGAGTAAAGAAAAGATCGCTGTCGTGAAATATCGTCGCGTCGACAAAGCCAAAATTAACTTTTCCTCGCGCATTTTTAAGAAAAAGTATCGCTCGACTCATGAACGGACCACATTTTGCAATGAGCAGACACTATTTTTAGCTCATCTTGGAAGCAAAATATGTGCCATTAGTTATAGCCTATACGGAAAGGTGCTCTGATGGATGAGTCAGATGTTGTGGTTTCTTACTGTCAAATGTATAGTCTTCATTATTTTGCCGTTGTACTTAATAGATTTTTGCATCGAAATAACTTTCTATCCCTATTTTTACATGAAAGACGCCAATTGATTTTCCTGACGAATTCCGAAATCATTTGTGTCTCTTATTAATCGACTTTTCCTTTCCAACATACTATCGTTTATACTGGTGTGCTGAGGTAAAACGCCGTATGAACATTCGAATGTTGCCAAATTTCCTCTTGGAAATTATTCATTTTTAAAGAATGATATCGATATTTTCCTTAGAGATTTTCATACTTTTTAGTTCAAATTGCGAACAAAATGTTGTAAATAATCAGAAGAGGAATATTCCCATTTTTCCCGCAAATCCGCACTTTTTCAAAGGAAATTTGGCAACGTCTGAAGACTCATACGGCGTTCTACCTTAGCACGGCAGTATAAGTCTTACCACCATATGCATTTTTTTTTAAATTGTACTCTCCGTAGGCCTCTTAAAGTCACGATCAATTTCCACGATGGTTTGTGAAGAATAACCGTTATAATACTGAGAAAATTAAAGAAAAGGAAAATTGTTGGAATAACTCTCGATATTGGTACGATGCGCCACTGAACTGTTATTCTATAGAATAACAGTATTTGTGGGTACCTATAGTATTGTGAGTACCAGCGTACAACTTTAGAGCACCGCGTCAGTATGATCAATGATCATGAAGGCTCCAGTTTCACTTAACCTTTTTTATTTCGCTTCAAATCATTTTGAGTTTTTGCGATTATTCCCTGTGTACAGAGCAGCGCGAAAATCTTTTGCAATTGAAATGTGCACGGAGTTGTTCTCGTCGGACACATTAACACACAGTTCGGGAAGCAGCCTTCGATTGTTAATACGATACGTTATAATGTCACCCGGTTAAGTTGCCGACATTTTTTTAACCAAGTGACATAACTGAGAGAATCGTTCAATTTATCGATATATCCAGTCCATCTGATCCGTTGAAACTTTCCAATGAAGGAGATGAAAATGGTTATTGAAGTTGATAGAACATAAGAAAAACCCGAGGTTAAAGTCAGTTGAAAGAAATGGGATTTTTCAACCCCCGCCCCCCCCCAATAGTCGCTGCTTTTTCTCTTCAGAGGATTCGAGACACTTCTTCCGTGTTTCGCGTGATAAATGGAACACATTTTGCGACAAGGAACTGCTATTTCTGGCTCATTTAAAAAATAACATACGTGCCATGATCCCCGTGCAAATAGGTGCTTTTATGGATGAGCCATAAATAGTGGTTTCCTTTTGCAAATATGAAGTCCAATAATGAGTGTAATACCATTTCTGATCACACCGTATTTACCGGACTAATGTCACTGGACAATGGAGATGTTGCATGTGTGAGGAATTTGCGATTTAACTGTTGATTCTTGTGTAAAAGTTCGAGAGAAACACGATGGTGCCACTGGTTTTCTTTGAAATCATCTCCCAAGCTCAAAAAAAGCTCTCAAAGTGAGACCAAAATGGAGGGGATATCCCACCCTACCCTGAGAGTCCACCTCTACATCAAAACAAACTCTCCATGCAAAGATAGAGAGCAAATACATTGACAGGGCTGCCACTTTATTTGGGGACTCTAAAACTGAAAACACGGCATCACTGCTAATGTATTTGCTCCCCATCTTTGCATGAGAGTTTGTTTTGATGGAGAGGTGGACTCTCGGGGTAGGGTGGGATATCCCCTCCATTTTGGCCTCACTTTGAGAGCTTTTTTGAGCTTGTGAGATGATTTCAGAGAAAACCAGTGGTACCATCGTGTTTCTCGCGAACTTTTACATAAGAATCAATGGTCAAATCGCAAATCCCTCACACATGCAACATCTCCACCATTCGCCGACAGAGTAATTTCCCGCCAAATAAATTTGAAGATAGGCAGACCCCACAGAGGAATCAGCGTGCATTCATGTTAATAAGGAGCCCTAAAATTGAGCTACCTACCATTCAATCACCCGGACCTTCCCTCTTCTCAAATCTATAAACTTAACGCGCGGTGATAATTAAAATCGATCCTTGACTACATCAGCAAGTCAACGTGTCCTGTCCATGGCAGTTTAAATGGTAATTTTAAAATTGCAGTTTTGAGTCCCTAGCATGCGTCACGTCGGTTTTGTTGGTCACTTTAATACTGCAGTTCGATACACCAAAGGCAACAAGGCTATTGCTCTGCGATACATCGATTGATCTGCCATTTAAACCTATCGAAAAGGATCGATAAACAGGGTGATCGCAACGAGCACCTCAATAATCGATTCTTTACCACAGCGTCAAATGAGGAAATATCGATAATCTTCATTCGCGCCTCGCCACTGTGCAACAAACGCGTCACATCAGTTAATGTCCTCGTTTCAACACGCCCTCAAAGTGGGCACACCTTAATGTGGTGCACGTGGAGTACTTTGGAGTGAATGAAGATGGAAAAAGAATAATGAATTAACTGTAGATTCAAGAGGAATGGTACCCCCCCCCCCTCTTGAGTAAAAAAATAGGGAGGGAAGGGAGAGGGGTAGAGCGAGAAAGTGACAAGAAAGGATAAAGAGAGGGAACGCAGAGGAGAAATAGTAGCCTTTTGAAACAAAAATTTAAAAAAACGAAAAACTGAACCGTCTGAAAAGAGATATTATGCGTGTTGGTGCGGCCACAAGAAGAGAATCATTTTGCAAGCAGTTGCCCGAAAAAATGTTGCTCAGTCTGTTTATCTATTCTTATTTTCAAACTTTTTTCCTTCTGGAGATCTTCCGGGCCGATTTCCAGGATTTATCAACCTGAAAACTGTTTTCTACACATGATGACCCTGCCACGTGCCATCTTCTTCGGATTTTGATCTCGATTATGGACTCAGAGTGCCCGTTAAGGGCGAAACCGCTGGACGGACAGAGGACCCTCCATATTATTTGATATTTATCCTCTTCGAACAAAATGTCTCAAATAACTATTGAATTACTACTCTGCCGTGGAAAGAAAGATAGCCGTATGAGGCTTCAGATGTTGCCGAATTTCCTCTCATTAAATACAAATTTTAAGGGAAATCTGTGAATACTTTTCTTCCAATTTTTCAGAGAATTTTATTCGCAATCAGATCTAAATTATCTGAAAATTGTAAGAGAAAATACTCATAATTTTCCTCAAAAATAAACATTTATCCGGGGAAATTCGGCAACTCTCGAATGTGTATCTGGCGTTTTTCCTTGGCTTAGCCGTATTGTACGGCGTATGTTTCGGTATCCGATTGCGGCTTTTTCGGTAGTGCGTCAAGCAATCAAAGTAGGAGGTCTAAATGAACGTATTCCTTTCAAACGGAACTATGCGCATTAAGACATGAGCCCTGAGACCCATAAGAATATGTGCATAACAGGGCTCACGTCGTGATGCACGTAGTTCCGTTTGATAGACATACGTCCAAATAATGCTATCCTGGAAACATTTGAGTTCGACAAATTTGCCCAAAATTCAACTTCAGCATACATCGAGGACCCTGGAAAGGAAAACCCCTCGTTTCCCGCGAACGTAAGATCTCACGGTCGGATGATTTTTTCCGTATGCGAAAAACTTCCGTAAA